AATTGAAGGGAAATATGCCAGGAATTGAAGGAAAATGAAGGGAAATTAAAGGGAAATATGCCAGGAATTGAAGGAAAATGAATGGAAATTAAAGGGAAATATGCCAGGAATTGAAGGAAAATTAAAGGAAAATTAAAGGAAAATTAATGAAGGGAAATTAAAGGGAAATATGCCAGGAATTGAAGGGAAATTAAAGGGAAATTAAAGGGAAATATGCCAGGAATTGAAAGGAAAATGAAGGAAAATGAAAGGGAAATTCAAGGGAAATATGCCAGGAATTGAAGGGAAAATGAAGGGAAATTAAAGGGAAATATGCCAGGAATTGAAGGGAAAATGAAGGGAAATATGCCAGGATTGGAAGGGAAATTAATGGGAAATGTCAGAAAAAATGAAGGGAAATTTAAGGGAAATATGTCAGAAAAAATGAAGGGAAATTTAAGGGAAATATGTCAGGAATTAAAAGGATTTAAAGGAAAATGTGCGAGAAAGTTAAAGCAGAGAAATGTTGGAATGATATTTAAAAATGCATTTATCGAGAAAAAAATAATTTATTAATAAATATTTGTGGCTTGATTTATTAGATTATTCACAAGCGTAGTACATAGATTGGTGCGTCAATTCAGGGAAATTCATTTCAAAGAACATCTATAGAATAACTAACAAGCAGCAGAGCACAATATACATTCAATGTAAAAAATTTTATAAATATAGTTTTAAGAATAACGATTATGTCATTATAATGATTATACTGTAGTATAAGAAAATGTTAAATAGATATAGACACATGTATTGATAATGTATAATGTACAGCAAATATTATTTTTGTAACTTAGCCAGTGATGTAAGACAGTGCAATGTAGAAGGTATCTACGTACTTTAAAAATAAAAAAAAATATTTGTGGCGCCATCTTAAAGAAATGGTTGGAACTATTTTCATTACAAACTTGGGCATTTTCTCACCGATGGCGCTACTAGTACTAAAACCCTCAGAGTGGTGGTATCTAGCGGGAATGGAGTCAACTATATCAACGCCGTTTAGTAGCAGTGGTACTACATCCGATAACCTCCGCAGACGTCTTCGATGTCGTTGTTTATTGTTGTTGATTCGAAAGTATCTTTTTATAACATTGCACATCTTTAATAAATATTCCTCGAAAAAGGAGATAAATACCTTACTTACTTTTTCCTGCGAAAGACTACGGTCACAATTATGGAAACGAAAATAGATATCGACGAATTAACGCAAGTATCGAAACAGTGCGAACATTCTTCGCAAAATCATTCGGACGATGAAAATAAAAACCAAGCAGAAGATGAAAGGTACGATGACAAAGCGTCGGATGATGAAAACATTGTTTCTTCTACGAAACGTTCTTCTATAAACGACGACCCGAATAGCACCGTTGATATCGCGACGTTCAAAAAGCCGACAGTTCTTATCAGTCCCAAACGTTCTCGACCAGCGAGTCAAACTTGTAAGACGTCAGTGGACGAAAGCACAGCCTGTAGCTCTGAAAATATCGTTGTATCTCTACAGCATCCAAACGATCCACTTATTCCATATATTGAGCCACCATGGAGTGGTACACCTGAAAACAATTACGAAATGGAGGTATTAAAATCTGGAGTTATTGTTGAAACTGTTTCGCTAAGCAAACAAAATTTCTATACCATTGGACGGTTACCTTCGTGTCACATATCTTTGGCGCATCCAACTATTTCGAGATATCATGCTGTTTTGCAATACAGATCCAAACAAGACGAGGAACATTCGAAGGGATTTTACATATACGATCTAGGAAGTACCCATGGTACATTTTGGAATGGAAATCTTATAAAACCTCATGTATACGTACGTGTACGGGGTGGTCATATGCTGAGATTTGGATGTAGTCAAAGAAAATATATTTTGCAAGCACCATCAGACGATCGGGAAGAAGAATCCGATTATACTGTATCTCAATTAAAGGTATCTTTCATTCCTTAGTCGCGATATGATTTCCTCGGTAATTCGTATCTAAGCTAGTTGTGCTAGCTGGTAACTGTAACAAAATAAAAAAAGTAAAAAATAGCTACATTTCAGGAAATGAGAGCAGCTGAATTAGAAAAAAAACAACGTACCGACGAGGAAACTAAAGCATCTGTGGATACAAAAGAAAGAGATGGTATCGATTGGGGTATGGGAGAAGATGCCGATGAAGAAACAGATTTGCAAGAAAATCCTTATGCCTGTGTCGCGGATGAAAATTTAGTCTTGGAGGATCCTAAGAAAACTCTGAGAGGATGGTTTGAAAGAGAGGGATACGACCTACAGTATAAAACCGAAGAGAAGGGACCTGGTCAATTTTTGTGCTGGGTAGAGTAAGTACTCGCGATTTTAAACCGCAAATGTTTTATGTTAATAGATATCGAATAATTATCCGATATTTATTTTCAATGTATCTTTCCATGGAACGTATAGCCTTCCTATGGAAGAAGTTGTTGGTCGTTCCATCAGAGCTGAAGCCCTTGTTAAAGGCAAGAAAAAAGAATCGGTCGTGCAGTGCGCGCTAGAAGCCTGTAAAATCTTAGACAAATATGGATTGTTAAGGCAAGCGAATCATGGTAAGGGTGAAGGTGTGACGTGTAATTAAATTTCGCACGATGAATGTTACGTCTTAACATCGAACGTTGATTTCCTGACTGATTGCTTGTAGAAGCAAGAAAAAGAAAAACAAGAAATTGGGAAGCTGAAGATTTTTACGATTCGGACGAAGATAACTTTTTGGATAGAACAGGATCGATAGAAAAAAAACGTGAACAGAGGATGCGATTAGCTGGTAAATTAGAGGAGAAAGTAGAAACGTATGATTCCTTGGTGAGTATGTCGTTTAAGCTTATGTAAATTTCAATAAAAGCGTTACCCGTATTTTTCTTCTTCTAGCTTGAAAACCATACAAAAGTTACGAAACGAATCTCACATTTGTCGAACGAGATTCAAAATTGGCAAAATGAAAATAATGCAAACAAAGAAACAACGGAAGAGGATGCGTTAGATATTTTCATGTCAAGTTTAAATTCATTCGCTTTGACTAAAAGTGATATTGCCAAGATGAAACTGGAATTACAAACTCTTCGTAAAGAGGAAGCAAGTTTAATTAAATTATTAAACTTGACGCGTCCAGCAAATTTACCGGCTCTTATAACTACCGATCAAACGGAACATCCGATTAAAACGAAGTCGAATCTTGTGCAAGAAACATCGTCGAAAAAAAGCAGAATTCAACACTCAGAGCTTTATCGTAGAAAGGTAAGTTGTTATAAATATTCTTTTGGAAAATTACAATTTTATTGTCGACTTTAATTTCTACCGTTTGTAGAAAAAACAAGCGAATCATCCAGTTGGTACAGATAATTCGTTGGTATCGAGTACAGTTGCAGACGAAGAAATAGAATCGGAACAAGATTCGGACGTTGATGACGAAAAGAACGAGTGTTTGAATCTCTCTTCTTTGAACGATAAAGAAAGTTCCGAGTCATGCAATTCGTCGACTATTTATAATACTAATATTGTTGATCCCATTTCTGATACTACTACTGCTACTACTACTACTACTAGTGTTGCTGCTGATATTACTACTGTTACTATAAATAAATCTCAAAGAGAAAATGAAAAAAAACAAAAGAACCAAGTTGAAATAAAGAAAAAACATAGGCGAGAGCAACAGAAGGCACCTTGCGATCAAGAAGTATACGCGAATAATTACTCTATGTGGGTTCCACCGCAGGATCAACTTGGAGATGGAAAAACAAGTCTTAATGAAAAATACGGCTATTAAAGTCAAAATCTATTTTACGATATTATATCATTGTAACTTATTTCCAATTAACTATTTCGTTGTACGATACTGTAAATACATTCAGATTTTATATATTCTTTTTGTACAGACCTTTTTCATCCAGTCAATCACTTTGCACGATATTACAAACTTTCGTACGAAGGATCTCTCTATATATATGTAAATATACACGCGCATGCGCTCCTTCGCTTTAGTTGACAAGAGAAAGGTAAGAAGCGTCGTAAAATTAACCATCAACTTGGTTCGTGGTACGTGAGCTTTTGGAAATTAATTTTTTGGATTTCTGTAATCATCCTATATTTGGAAATAAAACCAAAACATGGATTATACCGATAATGGACAGTTTGGAATGTCTTACACGGAGTGGCGTACGTATAACAAATTAGGAATTCTAAGGAAATGACAATCCAGAATGTCACTTTCATATTTCTCTAGAGAAAGAATTATTTTTCGTCGATATATTATCTATTTTTTTCCTATTCGTTTATAACACTAAATCTTGATGGAATATTTATATTATAATGTGTTTACACGCGTCCTGTACATGTTTCTTTTATAGTAGGTTATGTTGTTCGTACGTTTTTGTTTTTAGATGTTAATTTCGTAAATAGAAAAACTGAAAAGTTCTTTCTTATTGATAATGCATATTTAATGATTTCAAACGATATGTAAAGCAATTTTTTTTTTAATATCTTGATCGTCGATTTTGGTTTAGTATGGAGCTATGTCGCATCTGTCGGATGGTACTTGATCGGAATTGCAATTGTCATTTGGTACGCTTCTCCATATATTTGGGAAAAGTATTCAAATTGGAAGTTACGAAAAGATGAACAAGAGTATGCTGCCAAATACCATAAAAGTAATGATATATATACTTGTAATGCTTTGTACCGTAGCGTAATTAATATCCTATGCGTATAAAAATATTCATTTATTTCTGTATATTTAGATCCGGATCTTCTGCAAGAAAGATTATCAGCTTTGGAAGCTTCGAGGCAAAAAATGCAACAAGAATATTACCAGAAATGTATGCTCGTGCATCCACAAGGTGGAGAGGTAAGTTTTGGATTGTACTACTTGTTTAAAAACAGATTACTTACAGTTACTTTTTGTTTCAGCATGAAGGAAAACAGAAAAAACAATCGATATTAATGGATGCCAATCTCGCGGGCCATAAATTAGGGAACAATGAAAACACGCGGCTCCCTTCTGACAAGAAAAGTCATAAATCCCTAAGAGGAGGTAAAGAAATTATAAGTTGACAACCATATAAGCCATATAAATTACTACGCGACGTTTTCTCATTTTTTTTTTCTTTTTACAGAATATAATCCGTTAATGGGTGATAGTTCCAAAGGCTATCGACCGCCAAAACGTAGCTGCTGTAGCAAGGGTAGTTGCGGCTAATTATAAATACCAAGATGTAAACTATTTTCTTTTCTACTCGACGTTCTATATCGTAAATATTAAATGAAATAGTACGTTACCAAATGAAACTGTAAATAATTGTCAACCGTTATAATAAAGTTACGTATTTATAAAAACGCTGGCTGTAGGATTTCCAAATTCCTTGTTAAAATAAAAGGGAACATCGGTTTTAAATATTTCGATACGTGAATATAAAATTGGTAAACTGCTCGAGGTTTTAACGTTAATTTTTTTTATTAATAATCGTTACTCGTATATTACGTAACGTCTCCGTGTATGTATCTTATACGCCTTTTGTGTGTGTGTTTACGTGTATATGTGTGGTTGTGTGAGTTTTCGTGTGTGTATGATGCAGTACTTGACAATAATGATCGTTATTTTTCAATTATCTACACTTGTGCGCGCGTATCTGCGTGTATATAACTGATTCGTCGATCGATCGATCGATCGATTTTATTCGCATCGTTTCTTTTTTTTTTTGCGATCACGTGTTCGAACTGAACAATCGTTCGTGTTTGCCTAATAATAAATAAGTTATTGCCTACGAAAACGTTCGCGACGAAACGTTTCTTTTCTTTCTTATACGCTTTATTTACAAAATGTAAAGAATATTTAAGCTAAATCACTCGTCAGTTATCGCGTTTAGATTCAAACTTAGGAGCTAAATGATGCAATTAAAATGGAATACCTATCGACTCGTAGGTTGTGCGGAACGTTTTATCAGCGTCGATCCTTTTAATTCGAAAGTTAATGATATGACGATTAATGTGCCGTAGCCGTGAAATATTCTGACAGCCTACGATATCGATAATCTCGATCTCGATTGAGACCGATAGACACTTTGAATGTTGTTTGTCGGATATGATCTCGTTTGGTAGAAAATTGAGCGTACAATTTGTTTGCACGAATACGAATCAGTCTGGAATTACGTATAATTTACATGTTTCGCAAACGGAAGAGTATCGACGTTCCTCGTTCCAATTCTCGATGGGTGGTTGATTGATTGAATAGAGGTGGTGCACGTGCGTGCCACGAACGAGTGGATAAACGTAGGAAGAATTTAAACAATTCGAGGTAATTCTACAATGAAGCAGGGATGAAACGATAATAACGGTAGGTCGGATTGAAAGCGAGGTTACAGGTGGTACGAATAGAAATAAAAATGAAAAAATAGGAAAGAACGGGCGCGCAAGCATCGATGCTTGCGCGCCCCGTTTTATTTTTGTGCAATGCAACCTGGAGGAATTACGCGGCGCGCATTATATGTATGATACAAATGGTGCAAACCATCGTAACAATCGTGCGAGGACGATAAACTATAAAAATAACGTATTACATTTTTCCTGCAAATTGTTAAGATGGTTCGACGTAAAGCGAAAAGTCCGTTCTTTCGCGATTCTCTCGTCGTATAACGAAAATACCATGAGCTCTCGACCTCGAACGGATTATTTTCGGTATCTAAGTAAGTAACTACTATCGATCCCCTATCGATACCGCGCGTTCTTCCATACCATGGAAAATCTCAAGTGCGAGTCTATGTACAGATTTGAGGGCGTTCGCTCTCCCGAAGAACTTATACGATACGTATTCCTACAACGGTCATTTGCGTCGTTAAACTTGAGTCAAGTTTGGCAAACTCGGTGGACAGTCGAAATAGATCTATATGGAGATAGTTCGGATATTGTTACGGTGAATGTTACTTAAAATATATATGTCCTACGTGGCTATGGTTCACCGATTCGAATTCTAGTCTAAACACGCTACAAAAACGGTAGTTATCCATTAATTAGATTTTTCGCTTCTCGTCAGTCTGGATGGATTACATTTGTATCTATACACGCTACGGATTCACCAATTTCGTTTGCAAAAACTTTTACACTCGCTCGACTGATTTACAATTATTAATTTATACCATTCTACGTAACATTACGGAATTATTCATAATCCTCGGCAGTGTTTTTTTGACGTCCGATTTTTATTCATCTATAACCGTAACCATAATCATAACCATAACCATCGATCGACTATACTTTTACTAAATTGTACCAATTTAATACAGTAAATTTTCTTTCTTTCTTTCCTTCTTTCTTCCTTCCTACCTTTCCTTAAAACGTTAAACTAATTACAACAAATTTGTTGTCGGTTAACCTGAGATCCATTTCGTGTGTGATATTGCCGGGATCTTCGATTAGGATTACGCACCTCTCTACGGCGAGCTGCCGCGATTTCGTTGGCGTTGGCTATTATGAAAAAGTGAAATTCGTCGACGCGTTACGTGGCGTTCGCGATAAATTACCTTCAAGCGGCGGTTACGGCTACTTTAACTTCACGGAAAGAACATAGCAGCGTATACAGCTTGTACAAAATTGTTCGATATGATAATAGATACTACTTACACTGGCAGTCGCTGTTGCGGCAGTGGTAATAATATACGTATATGTACAAACATACTTGTTAATCGCACGTACCCGTTATAAAGGCGCGTATTTAGGAGAATCGTCCGTCGATTGTTTCGCTTAACGCGACAAGCATCGAGACGTTTTCTTACAGTTTAGGAACGTTATATCGTTAAAAAGCACGACATACACATGTACGGAACTTGATGGCGAGAACGTAGAATCTAGTGAAAATCAATGTCACGTTGAATCGAAGCTACCTAACGCGAATTTTACTACCTGTTCAACGAAATGTCACTCGCGAGAAAGCTACCTATTCGCTCGAATCCGTTTAACGTTTTAACGCGCACCTTTTTCTTGGCACACCGTCCTCTATCTCTCGTGTTTTAATCGGGACTCGGTGTCGGTGAGTGTATACCGATCGAGTAAGGATTGGAAAATTGGAAAACGGAATGAGAATAGATTATTCTGCTTCGAACAAGTAGGATATCGCGATGAGAAGATGAAGGAAAGCGATATGGATGAGACGGAAGGGAGGAGGAGCGAGACGAAACTCTGAATATGAACGGAGAAAATTCATAAACGAGAGACGAACCAAATGATTGGTGGTGGTATCGATGTCAACGGTTCAACGTTGAAGATGCCGAGAACGCGATCGAGGTCCGTAAAGATAGGTAAAAGTCCCGTAGATACATCCGCGATCGCGATAGTCGAGTAGTCGCGAGACGACTAAATTCGTTGGGATCCAATTCAATTATCTCGACGATAAAGGTTCACCAGAGATCCTCCGCTTCGGAGAATCGCGACGATATCAGCCATCGCGAAGGTCGGCCGGCCGACTACACTCTGCTGGAACGCTCGAGTTTCCACCACCTACGAAGACATTGTTTAGCTTGTTGTACCTTTGACTACCGGCACTGGTGACGGTATTCGAGCTCGTGGAATTGTGTTGAGTATAGCTGCCGATTCTCGAGAAGTTAGGCACTTTGTCTGAAGAGAAAGAGGAAAAGAACGGTTCGAGTTAAATCGGTGTTGCGTCGAATGTACAAAACGACTAAGCGATTCTGGTATGCACGTACGCTCACCTTTACTACGGTTATGCCTCGACCTTTCTTGCGAGCCGATACTTCCGGATTGTCTCGGGGGAATACAAGAGTAATTACTATCGCCGCTGCTGTAGGTCGGCGAAGAGGTTCTAGCGTTTCTTCTACGGGGACTTGTACCGCTTCTACTTCGAGATCCGGCTTTATCGTGTAGACACGTGGCCGATGTCGAAGTAAACTGATCGTTGTATGCTAGCGCGTTCCCGTACAGGCAACTGGACTCGGAACAGGAACAACAAACGTCCGAGTGCGCGTTCGAATCGCAGGATTTTCTATCCCAATCGTCGTTCTCAGGTTGATAGAGGCTCTCAGTCGGATAAGCGTCTCGATCGTTACGTCGATAGATTTCCTCGTTCGCGATCGATTGTTCCGACCGTGAATCTGTTCGGTTTACGCGACAATACGTGGAATCGTAGTCTTCCAACGGCGAACCGTTTCGTTGTCCATACAAAAGAGAACCGCTCTCGTACTCGTTTTCTGGATTAGTCTTGTACTCGTAACGATCGAATCCCTGCGGAAGAGCGGGCAACGCCGGCGGTGGTGGATTCGTTTGCGGAGGCAAACTCGTATACCTGCTCTGTGGGTGAACGTTACTAATTTGTTGACTGGAACTACCGTCGAATGATGACGATGATTGTTGTTGTTGTTGTTGTTGTTGTTGCTGCTGCTGCTGTTGACTCGTACCGTTCCAAACAGTTCCCGAGCCTCCCAAGTTATTAGCTGTTCTGACCGGTGGACTTGGTGGACTTTGAGAATTCCCCGAACCTGGTCCAGACCCGCAACCCGATCCGGAACCAGATCCGGAACCCGAATTCGAACTCAAGCCTAAACCTAGTCCCAAAGCTAATCCGGAACCAGTCACCGCGTCTAAATCGTTCTGTCTGTTGATACTTCTTTTTCCTAGATGAGGGCTAAATGCCGTTTGATACTGTTGTTGTTGTTGTTGTTGCTGCTGCTGCTGCTGGTAATGATGTTGGTGTTGGTGTTGATATTGGTACTGAAGTTGATGCTGTTGCTGTTGTTGTTGTTGATGATGGTGATGATGATGGTGATGGTGATATTGATATTGATGCTGATGGGGATGAGGATGGGAATGCGTCCTGACGGAACCGAGTGATCCTTCGAACGAGGGTGGATGTTCTGGCGGGGGCGGTAGCATATCGCACCAATTCGGCGGTGGATTTTCGGTAGGTAGCGGCATTCTATATTGATGAGTCCTTCTATGCGGTTCCGCGTTATCGTCTCCGTTGTAGACGCTACTGGCGTTGTCGCTGCACGGCGAAACGGTCGATTTGTTTCGATCCAGATTCGAATCCAAACTCGAGTAGTCAGGTTTGAGACAGGAATCGCTCGAATTCGACTTTCGACCACTGGTTTCTATCGAGTCTGGACTACGAGTCGGCATGCAGAGCGTAGTCGTGGCGTACGGTTCCGGCGGAGCCTGTAGTTGTTTTCTCGTGTTATAGAACGTGGTGAGATTCACTTCGGCATATTCCGAGCCCGTCATTCCTACGATTCCGGGTGGCAGACCAATTTGATTCTGCTGATTGCTGAGAAGCTTCGTCTCGCAGTCCTTGTCGGTGGTGGAGGTTTGTAGAGTATTGCTCGGTCTCCAGCCGCGTTCCAGCCATAGAGTGTCCTTGTTTAAATGACAAATGTCGTTGGCCGTACCAACTGGAACGTTCGAGTGACCGAGCTGTTTACTCATCGTTTGCCTTCGTCGAACGTAAAGAACTCCCAGCAGGGTAGCGATAACGGCAAGCACGACCGTTATCATCAGGATTAGAAACCAAGTTTCGCTGACGACGGAAGCACTCCCTTGACTCGGATCCGTTCGCGGTGGCAATTGCGTCAGCTGTCCTGGATCCATGTTCAGAACGGTCGGAGCGGAAAACGGACCGAGTCCGATGCGTGTCAATCCGGCAACCCGTGCCGTGTACAGACCACCGGTCGTTAAGCTGTTGATAATTACGGACGTCGTCGACGCGTTTAAAGACATTTGACCCAAAACCTTGTTGCTGCTATTGCTCTTTATCTGAATCTTGTATCCGATCAACTGGCCGTTCTGCATGCTTTTCGCCGGTGGGGACCAACGAACGAACGCCGAGGTCACGTTTATCATACCAACGTGAACATTTTCCGGTGGAGCGGAGGGTACGTCCTCCAACGTG